TTTTATAGAGGCGGTTCTGATTCTACCAGTTGCGATAGACGGCTTTTTCTAGAAGCCGAGATATTCATATTTTTGGGGGGTGTCCTATGATTTTGCAACGCACTGTATAAGTCATGAGTCATCCCCTTACATCTCAGACTCCTAGCCGTCTGTAAAGATTTAACTAGCCTTCGAGTTGCTGTGCCAAAGAAGGCTGTGCTTAGTGATTCTATACAGTCGCCGGGTATTGCGCTCGCAAGAAAGTTTTTGTGGTCGGTACTCCAACCGAAAAACAGTTACGAATTGTTAAAAAAAGTGTGCGCTGGTTGCCTAAGAGTGGGAAGGGGGCGCAACATTAGCGGGAACATCGTTGGTTGGCTTTTGATCTTGATAAAGTTGATATACAGCCAAGAACAGGGAAGAGGTGAGAATTGAACAAACAGTGAGACACACATGAGTCGTAGCGCAAACATGTCCATAAGATCAGCAGTACGGTGGCTCTTAGCGGTTCTTTTTCCATTTTTTTGAAAGTTCCTGGGCTAATAGTCACAACTGCTTTCATTTTTGGGCACAGTTATTCATATATTTAATCATGGGATGTACCTCTAGGATCACATGAAAAACATGGTGAATTCTGAAAAATTTTCTCTGCCGTATTCTACTTTTTCCCAGAAAATTCCCAATATCGAGTCAATATAGCTTTTAACAACACTGTGTGATAGGTAGGTGTAAGAGCATTGAGCAATTCCACTCAGAATTGAAAATAAAGAAGCGAGGTAAACTCGTCTTACCTATACTGTAATCGTGGGTCCTCCCAAACTTGACTGAACCATACATCTGCAACGAAAGAGCTGGAAATTTCTGATATTGAGGAGATATCCTGAAAATATACAGGTCTTCAGTTGAGATATTCTAGGAAATTAAGCCATAACTAAACATTAAGGGACTACCTGAACAGTTAACTCAACGTTAACTTGCACCGAATTATTTGACGGCACCATTGTTTTATCGTAATCCTCGAGAAGATCCTTAACATTTAGAAACAGTAACCGTACCAGTTAACTTTGAATAAGCAAGAAACGCGGACTCTCGGAGAAAAACTTCCCACTTGTTTCCCTTTTATTTTCTTATTTCCTTTCTTTTCATTCTAAAACATACCGCCAGACCCAGCCCGACAAGTTCAATCTAATAGCCCTCGTAAAATTGAGAAGCCCTACTTTGACTTGATCTACTCATTACCCACGCTGCTGTTTATTTAGCCGATTTATGACATTAATTACTATTAATATCTATTTGACAGCCTCGCTAACATGTAGTTTTTTCAATATTCTTTTGCAATCACTGTGACGTCTCTTCGCAGGTCACCAATGGATTTTACACCTACGATGAACATGTGCTCAGCGTTATCCGACGACTTTTCCGACAATGTGTGTTTCCGAGTTTTGGGGCCGGGTGCAGCAATCCACGGGCAGGGGATGAGCCCCCAAAACTCTGCATCTCTACTCCGGTCGATGACGTAGTTCTCGTGAACAGGAATAGGAGGATGCGTTGAGAGATGCAGAGTTTGGGGACCTATCCCCTCGCCGGGGTTTGCTGCACCCGGTCCCTGATCCCGATTCCGGCACCCCTTGGTGGTGTCGGAGAAGTAGGAAACACACACTCTCGGAAAAAATGGTCGGATGACGCTGAGCACATGTTATCATATTTACGAAGCAGAGTAGAAGGTTTCCGACAAGGGAGGTCGTTCAGGGTGTGCCAAGCTTTTTCAAAATGGTTTTTTGCATGACATTGGGGCACATATGGGAACCACAGAAGCATGGTTCATTTTTCCTGAACGGCCCTCTGAATACCAGAAAAGGGGTCCCTAGTTCGATTCCTCGTGGTGACAAATTTTTGCATTTCGAGTTGACGTTTCCAAAATTCGCGCAAAATGGAGTTAGCATGAATAATTAGTACCATATTCATGATTAGGACCGTCAGTAACCCTTACAAATAGACTTTGATTGAAAAACTGGTGAAAAAGGTGTGACTAGGGACCCCCTTTTCTGGTATTCAGAGGGCCGTTCAGGAAAAATTAACCATGGTTCTGTGGTTCCCGCATGTGCCCCTATATCATGCAAAAGACCGTTTTGAAAAAGCTTGGCACACCCTGAAAGACCTTCCTTGTTAGGCCAGCAGAGAAGTAGATAACTTCTTCG